ATGATGCCGAATGCAACAGTGGGGCAGAGGCTTGCTGCTTACTTTGCGTGACCTAATTAAGTCATATGGGGGCAAATACTTCAAACACAAAGTGAGGCAAGGGCCTAAATCTGTTTCTAAAGAAATCCATAAAAACTGTTCTCTGGGGGATGATCAGGCACAGAGCCCAGGAAAAGGCCAAGTTGGTGAACTCAAATTTCATAAATCATAGAATCATAGAACGGTTTGGGTTGGAAGGGAGCCCTAGAGGTCACCCAGCCCAACCCCCCTGCAGGGAGCAGGGACACCGCTAACCAGATCAGGTTGCTCAGAGCCCCATCCAACCTGGCCTTGAATGCTTCCAGGGATGGGGCCTCCACTACCTCTCTGGGCAACCTGTTCCAGTGTTTTACCACCCTCATTGGAAAGAATTTCTTCCTTCCAAAGTCTGACATGCAACTCTCAGGTCTCCAGCCAGCAACGTGAAACTCTGAGAAATTTCAGGAGTCCTCTACCCTCAGAGCTGAGCCCAGCTCAGACTGTAACCATGCAAGCAACATCTCAGAGACCAGATTTGAAAGGACAAAACTTAAGTGATGGATATTGCATCACCTCTCAGGAAATACAGCTGTTCTCCCTGGCTGAGGATACCATCAATAAGTTTTCAGAGGGGTTCAACCTGGACCATAAATTCAAGTGAACGACTCAAGAGAGCAGCACATGCAACATGAATTGGACAGCCATCATTTTCAAAAAATAACCTCCTAATTTTCAATGATAGCTACAGCCCAATTTTCAAGTGGTTATGTTGAAATCAGAGGTGGAAGAGCTCTCTTCCCTGCAGAATTAAGCTTAGCTATCTCCTGCAGATCATCCAAAAATTAAGGTATCTAGAGTTAATCTCTTGATTTCCATTAAAATGGATCTTTATATGTATTTATTGGGGGAAAAGGGAATTCAAGAAATGGGAAAAAATGCACCTATGAAGACTTTGTATCTAGGTACAATGATCCTCCAGTACTTGGAGTTTCTGTATATCTAAGACCATAAAAGAAGTTCAAAGGACGACTACCTCATTAACTCACTGATAAAGAATATTTGTGGTGTTTGCTAATCTCTTCAGATAATTTTGGTGTCCTTGGCGTACATATACACCTGCAATTCAAACAGACAGTGGGGAGAACACCGTGGGAATGCAATGCCAAAGCTTGTTGGGTTTTGAATAACAATGTGTTGCCAGTCCCATTCCTTCATTTGTCTGGTCACATCCAAAGTATGTTATATGCATTCCCATGGTGGTGTTCTATACCCAGCTTGGCATTGGCTAAGTTCTGACTCCTGGATGTTACAATAGCCATTTAATACAATTTTTAGTAAAGCTGACACACAGATCTGGGGTGAATTCATTGTCTGGATTCCATTTTGCAGAGCTAGGCAAGAGAAAAAATGGACTATCTCCATTGCAAGGCTCTTGGTGGCCAAAGAAGGCAGATCAAGCTGATGGACATGCCTCTGCAACTCGCTGTACACCAGGATCCTTATGCATGGATTTCTCTTCAACATTGCCAGGTCGCGTCTGTGAGCTATTGGTAACAGGGCTGCTAAAAGCATCACAGAAACACAGACCTGGAAGGGATCACCATCCCCCTGGAGTTCAGTTCCCTGCTTCTGGGCATATCATGTCACCCGGCCTCTCTCATACACCCACCACGCTCCTTCCCAGGCTTCTCTGGAGTTTTCTGCCTGGCATTGTCCCACCAGGAGACTGCTGTGAAACCTTGTCACATTCACAGTCTACATTCGGCTCGTTTCCAACCTACCAAATCCTAACTAATCACATTAATCCCTTCCTTATTATTTTGACAATTATGGACAAGACCTATTAGGTGTCTTATAAAGACTGAAGAAAAAATTGCTTCACCCTAAAGCTTGTATCCCTTAGACTCAAGTTCCCAGAACCAACCTTTTATGGTTTTTTTTATTTTATTTTCTGCTCTGAACTGAGGTTGTTTTCTCTTCTTGTTATGCCCATTCATTCACTCTCCCAACAACACAAGCCTCTGCCAGCCTTTCTGCAATGCCTCTTTTTACTTCCAGTGCCATCCTGGAGCTAATCCTGCTCCACCACAGAATCATAGACTTGTTTAGGTTGGAAAAGCCCTTTAAGATCATCAAGCCCAACCGTTCCCCTAACCCTGCCATCCCACCACTGAATCCTGGCTCTAAGTATGTCGTCTGCCCGGCTGTTAAATCCCCCCAGGGCTGGGGACTCGACCCCTTCCCTGGGCAGCCCCTTCCAGCCCCTGACAGCCCCAAGGGGAAGGAATT